GTTCAGATACTTCGTCGATTAATTTCTCAGGTAGTACATCGTTGAGCACATCGTCGTTTAGTAGGTCCTCTGCATGAGACAGTTCACAAATTGAGATTATCAGCGATTACATTATCCCTGCGTTCATCGGAAATTCGATACCGTGTGTAGGGATAAAAATGATTTTTCTTCCATTTCTACATAGCTTAATGGGCCCAAAGTTTGATTCTAGAGAAACCTATTTTGATTGTGTTCGCGGCAGAATCACGTAAGTGAAGCTAAGGAATGCTTATTACGACACTAAGTACTGTAAAATATTACCGTCTGGAGTAGATAGAGGATCACCATAGCCGCCGTCTTCACTATGGTTGAGAATCGCATCTTCTTCAGCCTAAAGTCATGATGATAGTTATTCTGAGCAATAGAAGGGCAGTACATCAGTAAGCTGAACTTTAACTGTTAGAACGGCTACAACAACGGTCATGAAATTATTTTCCTTGAGGTAAGCTAACATCAGCAAGTAAAGTCTTGAACTTGAAATGAGTGGCATACCCTTGAGGGTAACGAGAGCTCGAAAATTCAGTTAATAAAATGACCATATTGCGGTGGACAACTCATTGTGAAAAAGATCAAGAACTTATATAATTATCTTTTAAAAGAACTAGACGAGAGAAATAATGGTCATCAGATACGGAGTTACTGCTCAACAAGGGGAGATGGTCATGGTTCCAAGGCCTTTTTTGAAAGATTACCAGTCCACCGAAGTAGAAACAATGAGCGCCGACCGATGGAAAAATGTAGACATTATTGTACATCATTAATATTTATTCCTGCTACGCAACACTTACAATCCTATACGGAGGCACTTAATACTCATGTAAAACCAACCTTTTGCAGCAGCTTGATGAGCTCATTCTTTTTTGCCTTTGGATCCGGAGTAATTCCACGTTTCGTCAATTCATCTTTTAAATGCGCAATCTGAAAAATCACAAGTCAAATGGTAACTTTCAAGACTCGAAGTAATTACAACTTACTGTCATCTTCTGGTAGTCAGCTTCAGAGTTCATTCTGCAGCACCTCTATTGCAAGTTTAGGTAGTTCAGATAGGGCTACAATAAAAGGGTTATCGATGCTATTCACACTACAGGAATCGCGATTGCATTCGGCACAAGGCTAGTAAGTCGACAAGTTTTATGGATCAGGATCAAAATGGGACTGAAGTGAATGCACAGTTTATAGAGCCATTTGCCTACCACTATTCTGTGAAAGCTCTTTTCACTTGATTCGGAATAGGTAGCCAACTGGGGGGAAGGCACCAGGATGTAACATAGCGGTGAAGATTATCACAAGAATGCTGAGTTATGGGCAAAAGTCGAACCCCAGGCGGGAGTCGAACCCGCACCTCACGCTTTCCGGGCGAGTGCGCTGCAGAATTTCGCTATCGACGCGAAGGTTGTTTCTAGAAAATATCGCATGCTGAGATGCAAGCACTCTCCAGCAGCTACCCTTCTTACCCATTTCTGCGAAGAAAGTTGCAGCTGCAAACTTGCTTATCTCACACACGACAAGAATCGTGCTCGGAGGTGAGTGTACAGCGTGTCTTCCGACTAGGGTCTACTGCCACATACAATATCTACGGAAATTGAGAACGCAACTAAGACAACTATTTGTATTTCGATATCGAGCTCGAGTAGTGGAGTCCTTCCATGGGTACGAAAAGACCGCATATGAGTGAGTGAGCTGTGAGCTGCAGCCTGCATTTCACTCCGTCGTGAAATTTGTATGGAAATTTTCATTAGATAATAAAAGTACAGGATGATAAAATGCGTATGAGTATCAGTGTAGTATCGTTACAGTCCCGTGCTTAAGCAACGCGTAAGCGTACTTCCTCGCACAAATAGTCTGATCCTCGGACTCCAAGATTATCCTACATTCGCGGGTTCACTGTGAATAAGGAAGGCGCTGTGGTTCTCTTAATGGCAGTTCTGACGCCTCCCCAGTTGCCCCGCCCTCCGAAACCCAAAGGCTATCTTCTGCACGAATTCAGTTTTTACACCGTGTATCTCGTTTTTATTACTGTTGTATCGTACTGGCATTGCATA